GCATGCAAGGTTCCCGACCCGCCGTTGAGCTGCGAGGCGGGGGTGATTTTTCTTTCCCCTCGGCCCGGGGATGAGGCCTGGCTCTTGGGGGGGTTCTGAGGTTGGGAGGCTTGTCCTCGGTGATGGCATCCACCCTGAGGAGAGGGTTTAACCGGCTTTGGAGCAGGGTGCCGAGGTGGAAGTTGTGGTTGGTTCAGACGCAGTTGGGGGAACTGTTGGTGATAGTGATACTGAGAGATGTGGTGCAGTACTTGGTGCTATTGGAGCTGATGTTGCTGGAATTGTTGCATTTGGGCTTGCATTGCCCGCATGCATTGCATCAGGTCATCAAACTGGTTCTAGCTGGTCGCCATGGGGACAGCAGTTGGTTCGGTATTCGACAGGGAAAGGAAAGGGGACGTTCATGGCGGGAAGGTTTACGGGCACCACTGTTCGTGGCGCATTCAGGCCGGGGATCCCATCCACCGGAAGGGGGATGGTGAACTGTCCGATGCACACCACGGGGACTTGAAGTTGTTCCCTGGTGGTGTTCATCTCCGTGCCACGTCCGACATTGCTGGAAGAAGCAATGAGTGTTGGGGTTTTTTTGGAAAAAAGGGGTTATGAGAATTTTAGAGGGAGGCTTTTAAAAGCGTTCCCACAGACGGCGCCAATTGATGGTGCGCAATCCGGAAGGTCCTACCTATCAACGATCTTGCCTCGGGCTGGAGCGGAAGGTGCCTGAAACGGAGGAGAAAGCAAGTAATCTTCGGGGAAGAACCCGGTGAGAATGCTCCGAAGCTCAAGTTAGTATTTCCTCGAAGGTAAGATAAAACTAGATGGCGCAAAGTTATCACATACCTCGTTCTTGGGGGGTAGAGAGCCTTTTATAACCACTTCGTGCACTCACTCCTAAGCTTCTGTCAGGTCGGGTATGATTACCTATGCGCTTCTGCCAGTTCAGGTGTCATCACCTCTGCTGGGGCAGAACCGCCACTGTTCTCTTTGTCGGAGCCGTCTCTGTAACTAGAGATGGCGGTGGCAAGTGGCCGTTGAAGTGTGGCTGTCAACCGTCAAATCCCAAGTCAGTCAGGTGCGCTGCCCCTGGACACGGACTCCTTCGGTGTCAGGTACGGTGCGATTGTTCAGTTCGACGTCCTAGAGGCGAAGTGCTGGAGTGGTGTGCAAGGTGAAGTCTTGAGTTCGGATAGAGGTGTGTCTCGAACTGCCATGGGGAGGGCCAGTTTGAGTTGTTGCCCTTTGTGTTTGTAAGGCTAGGGGTCCAAGGGAGAGCTCAGGCTACTTGTGGGGAGTTCGGACCGCGGGTTCCTCTTTTCGGAGCTCGCGCCTCAGGCATACTATTGTGCCGAGCTGCTGCCTTTCCACGTGTTGAATAGTTATGAGGTCGGGTCAAATCTTCCTTCATCAGACAGTGACTTAAGTGTTTCACCAGCAGGCAAGGGAATATATTTTGTGAATGTGGGAGCCTATGGCTCCAACAGGCCAATCAAACAATGGCCATGTTGTTGTAAATTTCACATGATAACATGGACATACCACATGGATGGTTTTGATTGGCCAATAAAACAACGGCCATATTTTTCACATGATAAAAAAACGAAACTAAATCGGTCGGTTTGATATTTTTGAAAACTAAAGGTATTGATTCAGTTTTGGGTAATCTATATGAAAAATCAATAATTAGTCGAACCTATCACTATTTCTGCAAGCCAAGTATTTGATTTGACTCAGCTCAAATCCACTCCTATTTGATGCCAATATATTTACACGTGCTCTTTAAACACCTCAACCATGGTTAGTTGTCCCATTACTCAATTTGCAACTTCCATTCAAACTTGAGTCATGCCAAAGAGAAATGTCAAAGAATGCATTTCGAATATTTATTGTACGTCAAATCAAAATTTCAACCCAATCAGATTAAAAATATTACATGATCTATTTATTTTTCATACAAATGTATTTATCGTAGGCTTTAATAACATTAAAGATTCAATTGTACTATTGTCCAATCCAATCAAAGTGATCCAAATTTATTGATATATTTGTATTTGGATATAATATAGATCGATCCATCTCCATTTTAGACCAATCCATCTCCAATGAAGTGTGGGCTCAAACGTGCTTAACTACAGGCTCTCTGTGATGAGGTCATTAGACCTCACGTGCACACTGTTTGGTCCCTACTCCTTAATCCCCTTATAATAGGTAATATATAATACCAAAAAAGGAGGTCTCGTAAAGTTATTATCAATTGAATTCATTTTATTCACGATATTCAATATCAAAGTCATTTTTTATTTTATCACATCAATTGTATTTTAAATTTCATACTATTCATACTTTTCTAAAAACACATAATTTAAGATATTTTCTTTAAAAAAAAAAAGATCATTAATTCATTACACCTGGTCACATGCAATACGCATATTATATTTGGATAGGATGGTTAGGCCCAGACCAATCTAACCTCGCTGGACTCGTTTCTGGCGCGTATCAAAGTGGCCCACATGTTCCAGTAATATAGTCACTCAGTACGGTATCTGATACTCATGGCCGTTTGATCTGATGGGTGGTCCTAAACGCTGCTAAACCAGGAAAGCTAGATGCATAACCATAAAGGGAACCGGAACTTCCCCTTCCAGACCGAATCAAATCAAATGTGAAAGCGGTCCACGTCATCTCCTCATTCCGGTAGTGGGTCCCACCCGCACCAATTATTAGTGATCCCACATTGGTAAGGACGGATAGGAGAGAGCGCAATTTGGAACTCAGAACCGCTACGCCACATTGCTGTCGGTCAAGATTCCCATATACGTGTAGAATAATGTTCCCATCCAACGGCGTGTTTTTTACCGAACGGAACGCGTGGGAACACGTATCATGACAACCCTTTCTCTTTACGTATGTTCTGATCTGGTTCTTCTGCGCACAGTACGCATTGGAGGCTGGAGCTGTCAATTCAATTGTTCGGTCTATCCACCAGAATCCAACCGACCCAATTGTGTGATTTATGTCAGTCAGTCAGTCATAGTTTAGCCATTAGTGGTTCGCTACTTGGGGTCCAGATTTAACTCTATGTCTAAAAGGGTAAGTTTCTGTATAAGTTGATGAGCTCTCAGCTGCGGTTGGGATTTTTTGGCCCGGTCGAAAAACTCCGACTACACCCGTAATAATTTTGATTAAAAACTGCTTATTTCATCAACATATAAACGGTTCACTATTTACATGGGTTTTCCTCAAAAATGAGTTTTAAATTGTTATTACGATAAGTATAATGGGGTCAGACCAAATCATCCCGTATAATAACAGGTTCGGTTCTGGATCTATTTCATAGATGAACCGATTAATAATAATCAAACTCAACCCATTGACAGCTAATGTGCTCCGATCCAAAAAGCTCGTAGGCCAAGGCCACAGAGACGCAGACGCTAATAGTAAAGCTTGGATTGTTAATTATGATTGGCTTTAACGTTTTCTTCAACAATGTGAACTCAGAAAGGCAAAAAGACAGCTTGTTCGCTTCTTCTTCTTTCTCTGTTGATTCCTCCCCTTTAAATACCATCTCTTAGCCCATTTCCGAAGCCCGATTATCTCTCTCTCTCTCAACGAAGAAGAAGAAGTAATCATTTAATCTCAAATGGCTAACTTCTCTATTGAGTCCAAAGCGGTCTCCAGCAACGACCAGAGCAACTGTACATTCTTCTTTTGCAACTTTTTTTTTCTTGTGAATTGTTCCGTTCTCTCTTTCCTCTTTTTCTTCTCTTGTTCTGCTTTTCCAACTTTGATCTTTTATTATTAACTCTGGATTGTGGAAACCTTGCAGCTCGTAATTGTGGAGAACTCGTTGATGGTTATCTCAGCCCTCTCCAGAAACACGTTGCTTTCTTCGACAGAAACAAAGACGGCCTCGTGTATCCATCGGAAACCTTCAAAGGTTTTTATCTTCTCTTTCTCCTTCGATTTAAAATATACATATGTATTCTCGTCTTTGATCTGATCCTTCGTTTCAGGGTTTCGTGCCATCGGCTGTGGCATCCCCTTGTCCACCATCGCTGCGATCTTCATCAATGGCGGTCTCAGTTCCAAAACTCGCCCGGTCACTCTCTCTCTCTCTCTCTCTCTCATTTGTGTTTCCCGTGTTTTGCTAAACTACAAGGGTCACGTAGGATCCGTCCATTTCTTATTCATAACCGTTGATTTGGTTAGAACGAAATAATTCAACAATTTTCTTGGAAAAATCAACCAATCGAATGGACAAGATTCGGAAATTCATTTGATGCGATTTTGGGGTCACGTTGTCGAAGAAAGCCCGGGCATATTGATAGGTCGGGTACGAAAAGCCACCATATTCGGAAATGCCGAGTTCGTATTGGATCCGGTATCGGCTTCAGTCAGTGCTCACAGACCGGAACCGGTTCAGTCGGTGCAACCGTACAAACCCATGTTCACGCCGTTCGAACAGCCTCTCCCAACTTTGATTTAGGAATATCTTTTCAAAAGAAAGTATATAATATAAGTATGGAGATATTCCTAATATAAGATTGTAAAGGCTGTTCGAACGGTCATTTCACTGACCGAAATCGAATTCAACAAACCGTGTTCACACCGTTACTGCAGTCTTTTACAGTCATGGATTAAAAATATCTTCATACTTGAATTTTTATAAAGAGATTTTTTTTTTCGAATAAGGAGATATTCTCAATGCAATGAAAGGCTGTAAGAGATTATGCTAACAGTGTCAGCACGGACCAAATCCGATTTCATTAGTTTCCCACAGAGCGCGCCCTTTCCCGATGCACACAGACACAGTTGCTGAGATGCGCAAAGAGCCAATGCGAATTCGGAAATTCCACCGTCCCTCTGGAAGCTGCAATGTGGACCCCAACTGAGAAGATTCCATCGTGACGGTGTGATATGTACTAAAAGTTACGCTGCGTAGTTTGGTGCTCCCCAATAGGCACCATGTTAAGCAGCGTAGCGTTATTCCAGAAGCATAACGTCGCTGTCCCATGATTGACAGGTGGCTTGCTCTTCTAATTTAATAAATACTTTTCTATTAAATTAATTTAATAAAAGTGTTTGTAATTAGAAGGGTTATTATTTGAAACTTTCACTTCACTGGCAGTAAGAGTTTCAGATAATAAATCCCTGCCGTTGGATGGTAATCGGTCGCATGTTATTTTTCAATAGTAACTGTAGCAATTATTAGAGGTGTAAACACTATGGTCTATATATATATATATATATATATAATAAAGTAAACAATTGTTTTTAATTTTATTATACTATACTTATTATATATAAATAATTGCATATATCAAAATTCATATAACATAACATTTTAAGAATTTTTTTAATTTTTTTAAATAAATAATTTTGACTTAATGACAACCCCAATCTGTGATACAATGCGATACAGCATGGGCTTGGATCATGGGTCATACGGACCCAACACGACCTGTTTTACCCCTCTACCAACCATGAATAATGAGGTACCCATTGCAGCCCTCATATAGATTATTGATCCTTACCTATTCCATTACAATATTTTGCCATTTGCAACCCATCAACACAAACCATTGAACAGGTCCCACTCCCACCCAGGAAATTAACCAGGCCAAAAGAGTAGATAGTGAAGATTTACCATAAAAGCTCAAATTGGATAAATTATTAGTTAATAAAGCTGTAAGTTAGGTAGATTACTATAAGCTTATTGCTTTGCCTTTTAAGTGAATAAATTTCTATAATAAGTATCTATGGAGGTTGTGGATTCCAAATATTGGCTAAAGCTGAAAGTTGGATAGATTATTATACCTTCGATAAGCTTGTCGTTTTTGTCTTTTGGTGAATAAGTTTCTATTGGAGGTTATGGCTACAACTGATTATTTCATCCACTTTAAAAACAAAGCAACAAGTCATTCACTTCACCCGTTATCAAACAGTCCTTAATTACCTGCATACTATTAATGGTTTTGCAGGTTGTAATAGAATGAAGCAGTGGTCATGAGACCCTTAAAATTGTTTCTTTTGGAAGACTTGTAATTATGGGCTTCTTCTTTTTAGATTGTTTGTTTTCAATCAATTTTTCTTTTATTATAAAGAAGAATATTAGATATTAATAGTAATATAAAGTGGGGGTTATCAAATTTATCCTAAATATGTATTTGTTGACCTTCAATGGTGCAGGGAAAGCTTCCATCTCTTCTGTTCCCTATTGAAATAAAGAACATAAAGAGAGCCAAGCATGGGAGTGATACTGGTGTTTATGATACCGAAGGAAGGTAATGTCATATTCCTTGTTTTATACAGGCCTTAATTTGGTGCCAGCTAAACTTGGTGAAAATTATAACTACTTGTATAAGAAATAGTTTTTTCTGAAACATACAAATTTGGATAATATATTTCAAAGGTAAAGGCATGAACAAAGGCAGTATAACCTCTGGTTTTTTCAGGTGAATATGAATTAAAACGAGAGAAGTATAGAAATAATAATAAAAATTATTTTGAATACGACATAAGTATGAATTGTATTGTTGGTATATCATTTAAGCAAGTAGAGCAAATATTAATAAAAGTTCTCTTTTCCTTGTGAATTTCAATTTTTTTAGGTTTGTGCCAGAAAAATTTGAAGAGATTTTTCACAAGCATGCCCATACCAATCCAAACGCTTTAACATCAAAGGAAGTGTCAGAAATGCTGAAGGACAACCGGGTTCCTAAAAACTTTGGAGGATGGTTAGTTCTTGACTTCTTGTTGTCAACCAAAAGGTATGTAATCTTTAGAAGTATTTATCATCTAACGAAAAATGGTGAAATTGTTTGTAGGATTGGAGCCTGGACAGAGTGGAAGATACTGTACTACTTGTGTAAAGACAAAGATGGTTTCTTGCCTAAAGATACCATCAGAGGTGTTTATGATGGGACCCTATTTGAACAAATGGAGGAGCATAGATCATCTAGGAAATCAAAGTAAAGACCATAAAAGAAAGCTATAATTACCATGCCTTTGAATTTTATCTTGACATTGCTTATTTATACCTGTAATAATGAATTGTATAAAATAAACAATTAAACAGTTACATTGGATTGACTTGCAGAGTAGTTCATGTATAAAAGGTGCAGATTAGTAGAATTGTCCATTCAGCCAGTTATTCAATGGTCTAGAATGGATTTGCCTACATGAAAACGAGAAGAAAGAGGAGAATTTCTTTTTAGTGCCTTATTTTGGGAGTGAAAGACAATCCTTTATTTGTTGTACAAGGAATTGAATATAGAATTTTCAGAATATTGGACAGTGCCCTAGGGACATTGTTACTTGCATTAAAATAATTGACTTTGGCTTTATTTCGAGCCCTTTTGGATGATGGACATGGTGTAATTTTTTTTTTTTTTGGCATGGGTATGCTGTAATTTGAATTGACATAATTGGTTTTGGCTTGATTTTGAGTCCTTTCTTAGTGTATTCTATTTCGACTCAGTATAGATGCTCTAGCCCTACAGAGATATTTAAGACCCTGCTATTGCTATTGAAGGGAACTTGCTTGAATGATTGCAAAGAAGATCATTATTGTAAGAGTTTGTTGTCAAGGATCTTTTACCATTTTAATTAAACCAAATCAACAAAAAAAAAAACCAGCAATGCTGCTTCTTAAACTTTTGGTAAAAGTTGTGTCTTGGTCCAAGTGAGGGTAGCAAAGTTATGTCTTGGTCCAAGTAGGGGTAGCATTTCTCTTCCACATGTCCATGGAGTTTTGAGAAATCCAAACATCTCCCAAATTGAAATATATAGAGATAAGAATTTTTTGGATGAACCACACTCCTACCTTAGGAGTCCATTGATGAAAAGGGCAGCAACTGAAAGATACATATCTCTAATGTTGATGTATTATCATTTGAATTGTGTATGAATCCTACGATTTGAATCACAAATTGTATGATTTGAAATTAAAGCATTGACTTGAACCAATTTAAGTTAAACTTTGAAGGGGGTAGTTTGGGATATTGGCTCGTGGATTGATGCCAAATTCATAGGCAGGATGCAGTTTATAGGGGGGGAGGGGCTACTAGTAAACTGGGAGGGGGCTTCAATTTCAGATTTCTGAGGTGGATTGCGGGCCACTTATCCCTAATATTAAAGCATTGATGGAACATTTAGAGATAACAGTGATTATGGCGACTCCGGATCTCCTGCCCATGAAAACTCTGCCCACATATACCCACAACACACTACCCCCATGAATTGAGAACATCTCCCCCTGCATAATACTATGTAGGAGGATGAGATCTTCTCCATGTATGGCTGCAATGTTATGTGGGTAGATGTTAGCAGAGTTTGTGTGAGCAGGACATTCAGACTCAATTGTGGCACTATACTCAAGGATCAATAGGCCAAGGAGATACATGACAGACTGAATTGATGGCTGTACACCAAAGCATGAAGCTAGCCAACTTTTAGACATTTTGGTCGAAGGTGATTGGAGTCTGGATCTGCTCCTCCCAATGCGCACCTCACACCAACCTCACAGCATGTCCTGGCCATACATCGGAAGCACCTTCTGTCCTTAAATTTTATTATTCATGGGAGATGTTCTCATTACAAGGTGGGATGTGACTGTGAGGCACACTATATGAGGAGCAGATCCCAATTCAGGTGATTGTGGCACCATGCTTGGCTCTCTTCATATCTTTCCGGCATCATAATCCAACTACCGTTCCTAATTCAAATTAAAAACCTAGCGTAAAGGCTTTCAAACCACTGTATTGGTATTGATCCAATTCTTTTAGGTATTGATCCAAAGTAGAAGACTTGGCCTTGGAGAAAAAAGCCAAAAGAGTTAACGAAGGTTTTCTCTTATCAAGATTTAAGAAGAAATGAAGAAGATGATCCGACACCTCAATTTGTGTGATTAAGGAATTAACTTTGATATTAAACAATGTTCTGAAAACTGGACCAGACCGGCCGGTTGAACTGGTTGGACCGTGACCCGCCTCCTGGCCAATCCGGATATACCCCCAAAACCGATATGTCAAAAAAAAAACTGGGATTAACCAGTCACCCATCTGGTTCAACCAACAAACTGTAAAACCGGTCCCAGTTTTATATAACCAGCCTGTTTTTTTCATTTCCAGACTTGGTACAAAAAAACAAAAAAATGTTAAGTTGAGCCAAACAGGCCCTTAGGTCCAAATCCAATTGAATCACAAATTTGAAAAACTCAAAACCATCGATCTCTGATTGTTCAAAACGGCAAAACCTAACCTAACACCACCTGACCTAACCACCACCAGCGCCTCCAGCTAGGGGTGCTCACGGTCCGGTTCGGTGCAGTTTGGAGAATATTTCAGACCAAACCAATAAATTACGGTTTGAGAAATTTCTAAACCAAACCGAACCATTTTTCTATGAAAAACCAAATCAAACCAAACCGTTTTATTATGGTTTGGTGCGGTTTCTAATACGGTTTGGGGACTTTGGACCATTCTATGGTTCTTTTGGGTTTAACCCAATTAGAAAGCTAAATAGCTCCCCTAAAAATTAAAACTTAAAACTTTTATTTATTATTTTATTATAAAATAAAGAGTTCATTATATATTTATAATTTTATGCACTCCATTTAGATATATTATATATAATTATATATCGTAGATTCATCTTATGTATATGTATATAAAATTTCGGTTTACAGTTTGGTTCAGTTTATAAAATTCAATAAACCAAACTGAAACTGCAAACCACAATTTAGAAAATTCTCAAACTGAACCAAACCATTTATAGATATAAACCAAACCAACTCACAAATTCGGTTTGGTCCAGTTCAGTTTTGCGGTTTGAACCGTATAATGAACACCCCTACCTCTAGCTCCACCGATGCCATTACCACCACCGACAGGCTCTCTCTCTCCTTCTTCTTCCCGCCGATGGACTTTGTTCACCGCACGCATCCCTCTCCCTCTAAATCCACCGGCCGGTTTCCTCTCCTCCTCTTTCTTCTTCTTCTTCTTCCACTGATTTCTAAATTTATAACCTGCAACATTTATTTATTTATTTTTTATTCATTACTGATTAGCTAGTTTACAGATTAGTTACACTTAAATTTTAAAATTTTAATGTTCATTTTTTAATTATTGAACTTGATTATTTAATTACTCATGAAATTCCAACTTCATTTTTGCTTCAATTTGAAATTTGATCATTCCTTTAGGCTTTCACTTCAATCCACCAAGTGGAGTATTCCTTTAGGCTTTCACTTCAATCCACCAAGTGGAGTCTCCAATTTGTTGTTCAGTCTTGCAGAAGTGTTATTGACTTATTTCTATTTTGGATTAATTTTCCTTCATATACAGTTTTTTTTTGAATTTTTATTTATTACATCAGCATGGTTCGATCCCAATTGGACCTCTGACCCATAAACGTCTGCCTTTGTCAGGTCAATGCCCGATCCAGTTCTCTGAACATTAATATTAAAGACTAAGCCTCATAAAATCATTACAACTACTAAAATACAAGAAATAGGAGCATAAAAGAGTGCCTTAAGACCGTTCCTTAGGTACCAATTACCATGTTTAGTAGTCACCTTGTTAATTTGATAAGAAGAATATGTTGTAGCTTTAGCAAGCATTGAAAAAGCTTCAAAATGAGCTAACTTTGACTGATTAACTTCAACCTACATTTATGTTGGGAGGCAATGATGAAAAGATTTGGTATATTTGCTTAATTTTGCAAGATTTAGGAAGGAGTGGAAATCAGGTATCGTCATGACATCAGGCATTGGCCCTCAGTTTAGATCCATTCAAATTTTAGAAAATACTCAATCCAAGCCCGCCCAACTTGCAGACTTGTGGAAGACGAAAACACATAACATAAAAAAAAAAAAAAAAAAAAAATCATTCACTAAGAGTTAATTATAATGCTTTGTCTCAACCATATGGGGTTGGTTAGATGAATCCATTCTTAAATTATGAGTACCTGAATCATTTCTAACCAACTTTTGGTCTGCCCCTAGTCCTTCTAGTCCCTTCAACTTGCAATAAATTGCATATTCTTAATAATAAGTTTTGTAGACCGTTTTCTATACATATGACCAAAACTATCTTGGTCCATTTTCTCTTTTCTTTTTTCATCTATTGGAGTTACTCTTAGGCTCTTTCAAATGATTTTGGGCCCATTTGACACGTCTTTTTAGGAAAATCTTTTGGTAGCTTGATAGTTAAAAGACATATTGAGCTTTTGCATGAAGATCTAAGCAGCCCGAAGCACGTTTTGCAGATGCACATCTTTCCGTGTCTTTATGCACGAGAATAAAATGTGAAAGACGCGAAAAACTTCATTTGGAGCTTCCCGAAATCAGCCCAAAATGGGGTTTTTGTGTCTTTTTGGCGCTCCGGCTTTTGTCGGCTAGATCTTTTGCGAGCCAAATGAAAATAAACCAAAAATCAGTCTGCCCAGCTTGTAAACAGCTGAAGAACTGCACGGAAAGACACGCCAAACGGGCCCTCCATTTTTTACCCTGTCATTTTTATTGTTTCCATTCATCTATCTTAGCATATGCATTTCTACCACACTCATTTTTTTTTGGAGATATTGTTTCTTGACTGCCCAACACCTTTTCTTTTAACCTAAATAATATTCTCCTATCACATAAGACTCGAGATGTTCCCCTCTCTTTTGCCCATCCTATTTTAATTCTATTTGCAACTTCTTTCTCAATCTCCCTTACTATCTTATTATAAATTATTATCAAATTAAGAGAACAAAAGAAGTTACATTTAGGGGATTTTGAGAGGGGGAAATTGGTCAATGGGATTTTGATTCTCATTGACCAAAAATCTTATGTTCTTTTTTCAGATTTATGTGGGGACCAGGGAAAGTTTATTTTCCTGGGTATCACTTATCCATCTCCTAGGTGGGTAAATAACTTCTCCACCTTGGGGGAAGTTGCCAACACTTGAGAAGGACAAAAATGCCCCTTGTAATAATGGATTTTTATGGATAAAATGGTCATTGCCTAATTTACATAGGAAATAAAAGAACATGGGTAAATGCACTTACCTGGGTAAATCTTTCCTGGGAAACAATTACCTGGATAAGTGTATTTACCCGAATAAGTAACTTACCAAAATGCGAATAGGGTCTGAATTATCTCTTGCTCTCCATTTCTAAATATAAGCTCATTTGCACTCCTATTACTATTAAATTTTTGTGGCATATGTTCTGTTTTAATCCTATTTATTTTAAAACCTTTTGTTTTAATCCTTCATTAGTTTCATCAATTAATACAATATCATCAACAAACAATCACTATGGGCCCTCCTCTTCAATATGTTTAGTCCATCCATCTATGATTAGCACAAATTAATAAGGATTAAGTGCTGAGCCCTAGGGAAGACCCATCATAACTGTAAAATCCATGTCTCTCTGGTAAGTGTTCTAAATCCACCCTTAATTGAGAC